ATGGGAATGGACAACTCAGACTGAACAGTCATTTAACAGCATGAATGTAGCTCTAACAAGTGAACCTTGTCTTGCATATTTTCATCTTAATGCACCAACGTATGTGATGAGTGATGCTAGCCCGGTCTCGGGGCAAAGTGAACAAGTGCAAAGGGAGAAAGTGAAGATTGACGAGTCTACAGAGAAAGAGAAGTTACCAGAGGCTGTGTCTGTAGAGAAACCAATTATGACTAGAAGTGGTCGTCTTGTGAAGAAACCAGCTAAGTTCAAGGATATGGTTACTTGAAGTAATAGTTGTGGTTGTGTTAGCTACCTAGAACCCTTCTTTGTTTAGTATGAACAAAAGGAAGTTTTTTTTGTTAGTTTATATAGTAAAGAAGTTATTTAAGTTATAGACTTAAATATTAACAAGGGAAGGATGTAGTATAGTTGTAGGAGTTCTCGTGAGAATGTATGAGAGGTGGGGGGATGGGCAGAGAGAGAAAGAAATGAACATGAATGATGGAGGTAGGACTTTCAATAAAAAGTGAGTTACAGAGTACCTACTAAGACGTTCTTCTTTTATTTTGAGAATGACATCACAACACCGAACACCGCAAGCACTCGTCGGAAATGTAACGCCCCTTACCATAATTGCAAGCTTCACCTTTCAAAATAAATGTAAAGACAGAGCCCGAAAGGGGAACAGAGTCGCGTGACAGACACAGTGATGAAGCTGGTATGTGTTTGCAGTACACAAGCCACGGTTAAAACAGCTGACTCCACTGTGATGTGACACCCCCCCCCCTCTTTCTCTCTCTCACGCTCTCGCTCTCTCTCTCTCTCTCGCGCTCTGTCTCTCTCTCTCTTGCTCTCTCTCGCTCTCTCTCTCGCGTGATGAATGCGTGAGAAAGAAACAAATATTTGTAACCTCACACATAAAAAAACATTCATTATTACAAAAGTCATTTGTTTGTGGTGCTGACAATGGCGAATCCAGGCCTGTGTAGCAGGTCACATTATGCGCATAATGTAAAAACAAAATCTGCCTAGTCTAAATTAGTATTTTGATTGGTCTCAGGAGGTTTAAGTGTAACATCTTTTCTAGTGTTGGAATAAATCAATTATTCTGATATTGTTTCTTTTTCTTTGCTCAACAGGCTGTTTTCACATTGAGGTAAGATTACATTGTTAAGTCTTAAGTCTTTTCTATTAAACAATGACATGGGTCTATTAAAATTCCATTAATGTCTTATCTTTAAGAATGGAAAACAAAAAACAAGTTGGCAGGAGAGAATATATGAGACGCTGGAGAGCAGCCAACAAGATTCTTTCTAATTGTCACCTAAATCAGGCCAAAAACAAACATAGTGATATTTGCGCTAGTCCTGTCCTGTACATCTCCACTCTTTATGGAGCCCTGTGAATCGTCAATAATTGGAGCATACGTGTGCCAAAAGAACAATGTTCTACAAATGATCCCAAAAGAAAAGGTCAGTCAGTGTAAAAGAGCAATCAAGGTTGATCAGAGGCAAAGAGTCGTCTATTTGACTATTCTTCACAATCATGACAAATAGACATCAACAGATTATATCTTTAAAACACATATCATGTGTAAGTAACATTTATGTATATAAAAAAAACTATTAATGTACAGCTGACTTTTTTTATTTTTTAATAGTCATATACTTTGCCTTTAAGAATGTTTTCAGTTGTGGAATTCACCTCAGATCACAGTGTAGCTGTAATTCCTGATGCATGGAAAGAAAAATTAGACCAGGTAAGACCTAGACGTGTGCATATTTGCTACATAAATCTCACTGGTTTACGTTTTTAAATTGATATAATTTGATATTACAGTCATATTGTGCTTTCAAACATAAATGTGTAAAGAAATATGTACAGTTCAACTGGAATTAAAGTATGAAATCAGGTTTTGAAAGAATGACCAGCGGTGTTGCAAAGGTGATCAGTTTGGAGTTTTTACTAATTGTTTTTAAAAATTTACATAGTAAACTTGTGAAAATTGTACCAAATGGAAATTTTAGGAAATGTATTGCCAAATTAATGTTAAAATGAATGTATGCAATCCTTCCTATTTTGCACATCAAAACCGAATATGTAAATAAAAGAGATAAATCTTTAAACATTTTTTGTTGAAAAATCTAATCCTCAAATGATTTTTTAAAAATATGTATTTATACAATTTTTTCCTCAGGACATCTATTGCTACTGGCCACCCAACAATGTCCAAAGTTTATTAAAAAAAAAGACTTTGCCTGATAAAATAAAGTGGAACAGACTACAAGTCCACAGAGTTTTTAAATCCTCAGGTACGTCAAATATTACCCAGATTTTGACTTTCGAGATAATGGATTTCTTTTTGTGTGTGTGTGTGTGGGGGGGGGGGGATTTAAATGTAACGCCCCTTACCATAATCGCGAGCTTCATCTTTCAAAATAAATGTAAAGACAGAGCCCGAAAGGGGAACAGAGTCGCGTGACAGACACAGTGATGAAGCTGGTATGTGTTTGCAGTACACAAGCCACGGTTAAGACAGCTGACTCCACTGTGATGTGTCTCTCTCTCTCTCTCTCTCTCACACACACACAGACATGATGCGCAAAACTCTGCATTTGAACAGTCAATAGCAAATACTTAAATTAATAACAAAACAGTAGCTGATTCAGAAGCGCCAGATTGTCATAGCAAAGTCAGAATTACCTCCTCTCCTAGGTTCACGACATGGTCGTCCATAAAATGCATTGCTGTTCTGTTGTAAGTGATCTTAAAGATTCCTAAATGCATCTACTTTTGGAAGGCCAAATAAAGTGCTTTTGCTTTCGCCTAGAAACACACAGCGTCTCCCTGACATGGCTGCTTCAACACTAACTGCGTTTACTGAAACCACGCCTTCTTTCTTTGGTGCACATTTGGGCCACATTATGCAAATATTTTCACATAGTGAGGTAGATATGTGGGGGCGTGTTAGAACAAGCCGTTTTACGGGGGCGTGGCAGAGTCTTAACTTTGATAAAGAATATCTCTTTGGTTTTGAGACTTTAGTCTTTGCAACTTCAGGGATCTTATCTATGCACAATCAGCTTGCAACACTCCAAAGAGAAAGGAAAACTTGAAATCGCATCATATGCCCCCTTTAAGGCTATTTTGGCTATGCTCATCGCTGGTCTGGTTACTGGTATTGGGCTATAGCCAAGCCGTTAAAATTAGACCACAGATTGCCTCGATTTCGCCGGGTGGGCTAACTCACCATTCATTTCAATAGTTTTATAAAAAAAACAGGATCATTATTATCCTTTTACCATCCAAGATGACCATCTCCATTAATGTTTACCTCTGGTGTTACACTAAGAAAAGAAAGTCATAAATGGCATTATGATCCATAATTACTTTCAGGACAAAAGGCCCACAGTAACTGCCATCCTGTTGGAATGAATGTGGTAGCGTGTCATATGCCCATCTGGGCACGTTGTAGCCCTTCTGTCTCATGAAGGACCTGTAATAATTATGATTTATGATTATGTGGTAAAAACAAAAGAAGAATTCTGGAGACACATCTCGTCCCGTAGAATACCTGCAAAAAAGCACAAGTGTTTAGATTCAATAAAAAGCATTTAATATAGGGTGTATGATTTTGGCAGCACTGCCGAATTCATACCCCCCCCCCATGATATCAAGTTTGCTGGGTCAGAGACCAAATAAACTCATTTTGGAGACACATCTGGTTCTGTAGAATATCTGCAAAAAAGCACAAGTGTTTAGATTCAATAATAAGCATTTAACATAGGGGGGTATGATTTCGGCAGCACTGCCGAATTCATACCCCCCCAATGATATCAAGTTTGCTGGGTCAGAGACCAAATAAACTCATTGTGGTGACACATCTCATCCTGTAGAATACCTGCAAAAAAGCACAAGATTCAAGATTTTTTTTTATTTGTCACATACATGGTTATATAGGGAATATATGACCAGCATTGAAATGTAAGTATTCATGCCAAGGCATGTAAGTATATCATGTCATACAACATACTAAACACAAGTGCTTAGATTCAATAAAAATCTTTTAATATAGGGGGTATGATTTTGGCAGCACTGCCCATTAATGTTTACCTCTGGTGTTACACTAAGAAAAGAAAGTCATAAATGGCATTATGATCCATAATTACTTTCAGGACAAAAGGCCCACAGTAACTGCCATCCTGTTGGAATGAATGTGGTAGCGTGTCATATAATAAGCATTTAATATAGGGGGGTATGATTTTGGCAGCACTGCCAAATTCATACCCCCCCAATGATATCCAGTTTGCTGGGTAAGAGAACCATAAAACTAATTCTGGTGACACATCTCATCTTGTAGAATACCTGCAAAAAAAGCACAAGTGTTTAGATTCAATAAAAAGCTTTTAATATAGGGGGGTATGATTTTGGCAGCACTGCCGAAATTAAACCCCCCCCTAATGATATCAAGTTTGCTGGGTCAGAGACCAAATAAACTCATTCTGGAGACACATCTGGTCCTGTAGAATACCTGCAAAAAAGCACAAGTGTTTAGATTCAATAATAAGCATTTAATATAAGGGGGTATGATTTTGGCAGCACTGCCGAATTCATATCCCCCCGAATGATATCAAGTTTGCTGGGTCAGAGAACCATAAAACTAATGCTGGTGACACATCTCATCCTGTAGAATACCTGCAAAAAAGCACAAGTGTTTAGATTCAGTAATAAGCATTATATATAGGGAAGTATGATTTTAGCAGCCCCGCTGAATTCATATGGCATTCTATTGATACAACAGGGTCGCGAGGAACTACAAAATCCATACCATTCGCTCCTCGCTGGGCAACAGACATTAAAACAGCAGTGCTCACTGGTGTTGCGCTAGTCACATCAACTCTGTAAAATTTTGTGAACATACATGGCGTAGACCATGATGCTGCAGCACAAATATCCTCTACTTGAACTCCCTTTAGTGCAGCCCATGAAGTAGCTACATCTCTGGTTGAGTGGGCCCGAACTCCTACAGGAACTGTTCTGAATGAAAGACCTGACCAGGCATCACTGGCAAATTCATTAGCTCACCTCTTATGGCGTCAGGCAAAGTGGTTTGTGCCAGCCATATTTGTCTACGACATAAAATAGCCGAAGACATTACCTCCCCCACATCACGTGTCAGTTGAGAGTGGGCAGCCAAAGCTGAATCAACAAGGTTCCTAGAATCTTGGTCATCCGCGCTTGGCTGCACGTGCAGCAGCATTAAAGGACCGTGAAACCAGATATCATTCTATTTAGACCGTTAGTGACAGTCAGAGTGAGGTCGAAACAGATCTAGCTACAAAGTAGCTAAATTGGCAACACTGGTCAGATCCTGGCATAGACATTTATGTCTATGGATCCTGGCAGGGAGTCGGAATTCGGCACAACACCGGCTGAGTCAGAAACGCTCTTGCGGTGCTTTGATGCCACACGTGACAGTGACGTGGCATCGGCGCCGTCTCAAGTCGGACAAAATTACTAACCGGCCAAATATTATTTGGTAAAATTTAAATCTGATATTGATTTTAGTTGCTCCTTTTGTGTCAGTTGCCCTGAAACTGTGGTACATTTGTTTTGGCATTGCCCTTTTGTAAAACTATTTTGGCAAAATGTATGTAATTTTATTGTACAAAATATTGATAATCATTTTGTTTTGTTATGGAAAGATGTATAATTTGGTATATTGGAGCACAGCAAAGAAAAGCACAATCACGTTTACATGATAAATCTTATTTTTTTACATGCAAAATTTCATATTCACAAATGTAAGTTCTCATGCAAAAAAAATTGTTTTTTTTCTTTTAGGAAGGAAATGGAGCATTATATTGATACTATACGATTTTCGATGAAACAAAAAGCAATTAAAACGGTGAAAGTTTGTAAATGTTTTAATATTTTTATATAAATTTGTATTTTTTTATACAGCCTTTCCAATGTATGTTAAATATGAATGATAATTAGATATTACATATAATTTGGTACTAAAACAAAGGGTTGCACGTTCTATTGGTGCAAAAGAGTAGTGGTGATATTTATTTTGTACAACATTTGCAACTGCTTTTTATCACTTAATTAGAAGCACCACAAAATTAAATTGTCATCTGTTATAGAGACACTGAACAGACATTTAGTTGACATCAAGTTGATTTTAAAATGCAAAGTATTGAAAATAAAAATAAAGCTCTGTAAACACTTGCATTTTTACAACACAAGTGTGTCCTACCAGGTAATGAAAAGTTCTACACACACTTGTGGTCTTCATGCTCACTTGAACACTTGGACCAAATACAGGAAATACGTCATATAAGTAGTCAAATGGTCAAGTGCAAAGACCCATTATCCACTTAATTTTCCTGGGAAATGGATGGTGCATTTGAAGTTGCTTTCGAAATATGTCAGCCTTCCTCACGCCACTGTGACGCAATCGGCCTTGGAATGCGGTCTTCGGAGGGTGCGTTCTGAATTGGGACAGCTTACGTTGTGACGCTGTGACGCAATAGCACTTCAAATGCGCACTTCGGAGTCGCACACTTCAGTTTGGGACAGCCTTCGTCACGCCACTGTGATGCAATCGCACTTCAAATGCGGCCTTCGGAGTCCGTGCACTTCACTTTGGGACACAGTTTACAGAATAGGCTTGTTTGATCGAAACCGATCACCTGTGATCACCGCGAGATGCATGCCGGTTAGAAAAGTGTCCGAGTTACGTCCGACTTGCTCTGATGTCATGCTGACGCGAGGCGGCTGTGTCGGATTGTGCAGTCGAGCGCAGTTGCTCTCCACCGACTGCGCTGATCAAAAGCATGATGGGAAACGACTGGCTGACGACACAGCTTAATGCTCATTGGTTCAGACAACCATGATGTTGCGTTCTCGTCTAAGATGTTTTATTTTTTATCTGGTTCCATGTGTAAAAGTAGAAACCTCTCCTACTTTTATATAAAGGCAACAGAACTGAAATCATATCATGTTTATCAGCAGCACAGCACATGAGTGAGAATAACGCGATATCCGCCTTTGATCTCGTAGGTATCTGTTACATTAGGCTTGTTTGAGATGAGCAAAATCTGCGCCAGTGATCACCGCGAGATGCATGGTTAGAAAAGTGTCCGAGTTACATCTGACTTGCTCTGATGTCATGCTGAAGTATGTGAAGAAAACTCTCGCGATGGCGAGGCGGCTGTGTCGGATTGTGCAGTCGA